ATTCTGAGTGATCCATCTTTTGTAAATGAACCCCTTATAGTCCTCGAAAAATGCTAATAAATCATGAAGGAAGTCCAGTTTTCTGGTGGCTTTGTTATTCCTGACCGTCCCATAGCAGAAGTACTGATACAGGTTGGCAGGGGTGCATCTCTGGATAGGGGGCACACATGAGCGCACCCTACCCCTCACCGCCATTTACGGCCTTGGCTGTCAATCACTGGGTCCTGACCGGTGATTACTTGCTGGCGCCCGATGATTGCCGAGGATCTCTGACGGGTAGAACTGTTTGTAAACAATACAGATCTCTCCTCTGTCAACTCAGGCACACTGCTTTGTATAGCTCTGCATAGCAGCATGCGTACAGTGAAGCACTCAGACACAGCCCCCTAGTAACACTCCCAGCACACAGTTAACCCTTTGATTTATTATTATTATTATTATTATACAGTATTTATAAAGCGCCAATAGTTCGCTCAGCGCTGTACATTACAAAGGAGGACAGAACATGAGACAGAACAATACCAATACAATGAGATACACGAGGGCCCCAGATGTTAACCCCTTCCTGCCCAGTGCCATTAGTACAGTGTCGGGGCTTTTCTTTAGCACTGATCACTGTATTGGTGTCACTGGGGATGTCAGTGACACCAAGTCAGTTCCCCCCCAGTGTCAGAATGTCCACCACAGTCCTACTATAAGTTGCTGATCTCCACCATTACTAGTATAAAAAAAAATCCCCGTATCTATCCCGCCATTTGTAAACGTTATAACTTTCACCTAAACCAGGGGTCTGCAACCTTTAAGACATAAAGAGCCACTTGGACCCGTTTCCGAGAGGGAAAAAAAGACTGGGAGCCGCAAAACCATTGCAACATTTAAAACAAATCCGACACTGCATATATTGCGAAAAGCGCTCTGGTCATGAAGGGGGTTTAAGGGCCCAGTAAGCAAAGGGTTAACCAGGGCCACAGTGTATCATCATAATCACAATCATAGCCTTAGGTCAGTGGTGGGCAACCTTTTTTTTCAACTGAGCCAAATCTCGCCAAAACCACGATTGAAATTTATTTTGAGAGAAACATTTTTAAAACTGAAAATACATCCCCCATATAGTAATTCATCCCCCATATAGTAATTCATCCCCCCATAGTAATTCATCCCCCATATAGCAATTCATCCCCCCTATAGTAATTCATCCCACATATAGTAATTCATCCCCCATATAGTAATTCATCCCCCATATAGTAATTCATCCCCCATATAGTAATTCATCCCCCCTATAGTAATTCATCCCCCATAGTAATTCATCCCCCCTATAGTAATTCATCCCCCATAGTAATTCATCCCCATATAGTAATTAATCCCCCATATAGTAATTCATCCCCCCTATAGTAATTCATCCCCCATAGTAATTCATCCCCCATAGTAATTCATCCCCCATATAGTAATTCATCCCCCATATAGTAATTCATCCCCCATAGTAATTCATCCCCCATATAGTAATACATCCCCCATAGTAATTCATCCCCCATATAGTAATTCATCCCCCATATAGTAATACATCCCCCATAGTAATTCATCCCCCATATAGTATTTCATCCCCCCTATAGTAATTCATCCCCCATATAGTAATTCATCCCCCATATAGTAATTCATCCCCCATAGTAATTCATCCCCCATATAGTAATTCATCCCCCCTATAGTAATTCATTCCCCCTGTGTCAATTCACTTACCTTTGCTCCGCGCGTTCCTCTAGCTGTGTTCCCGTGCCGTTCTGGTCTTCAGGGCGGACTGTGAGAGGAGAGGAGTTCGTCACGCTGCCCCGCCTACATCCTGACAGCCAATGTTTGGAGGAGGGAGGGGAGCGGGCGCCCGGCACATAGAAGAGCTGCATTAAAAGAGCCGCGGCTTGCCGACCCTATTGCCTGTCACCTGGTGGGCAGTGTGCTCCGGAGCCGCAGGAAAGGTGAAAAAGAGCCGCGGGTTGCCGACACCCGACCTAAACCAATTAATTTACACATATCGGGATTTTTCTTTAGCGAAGACACGGAGCAGAATACATTTTGGCCGAAATTTATGACTAAATTTGATTTTTTATTTTTCTTTTACTAAACATGTTTTATAGCAAAAAGTAAAATATATATTTTTTTCTCAAAATTGTCGGTCTTTTTTTTTTTTTTAAAGCGTAAAAAAAATAAAAAATGCACAGGTGATTACATACCACCGAAAGAAAGCTCAATTCATGGAAAAAAAAGATTCATCTTGGTGCAGCGTTGCATGACTGCGCAATTGTCAGTTAAAGTAACGCAGTGCCGTATCGCAAAAAATGGCCTGGTCAGGAAGGGGTGGGGAATCCTCTGGAGGGGGAGGGGTTAAGGTGAACATACAGAAAGGAGTTGATCCTCATCATCTGGATAAATATCGAGTCAGAAACGCGTTTTCCTCGGCCAAAACGTGTTACTTTGCTAATGCCTTTCATACAGAGGCGGATGTGTGATTGTCTTTCCTGTAAACAGAGTTTATATTCCCTGAATCAGTTTTACGTCAGAAAAAAATCCTAATAAAAATAAATGCCGACCTTCCCGAATAATCCACTTGGAAGCCTCTTATTATTGAATGGAGGCCTCTGCTGATCACATAGTGCTTCCATTTTGGGACATTAACCTTTTTGTCATGTGACCTCTTACTGGCTGATAGTTTGAGGCTAATTAATGCTAGTTTTGGCTATGAATGGCGCAGATTTGTGGAGGTGACACAGAAAAGTAGGAGGCTGTTTAAAATGTGGCCCTAAACAAGGTAGAATTCCATTAGAAGAGTTCAGGAGCTTTCATCAATCACAATCACATTCCCGTGTCACCAGATTGTATTGATCAATGATGGAAATGATCTTCTGAGGTGGCCCAGTGATCCATAATGACCCAAAATTCTATCATTAGTTATGTAGTGGTCGGGGAATCCTCTGTCTGTAATCCTAAGGAGGACACAGCCTCGTGTTACATGATACATACTGCTGGGAGATTTGGGGTGTAACGGAACCGGTACCCGACCGCACTTGGGTATATTCCGTGATCCCGCAGCTTCCCCTGTCCGAACACCATCCCCGGACCACACCCTTGAAATCCCTCAGGAAAAAGACAGCACCCAGCTCTTCTTATTACAGGAAGCCAACTCTCTTTATTGTACACAAACAACATGTTTTATACAGAGGGCGGGGAAAGACAACCAGGGACAGGAAACACCTCATCACCCCTCCCCATCCAACCAAGACACAGAACAATGGGATGAAGCACATGGCATAGAACAATAGGCAACCACATGGCAGGGACAATACAGGGACACATGCATCCCATAATAGTTGGCTGGACAGGAAGACACAGCACAATGGGGGGTAGCACATGGCAAACAAACAATGGACAGCCATGTGGCCAAGAACAAAGGAACACACACTATACACAAGACTGGGACATTCACATTTACACCCTGTACCCTTCAACAGGCACAGGGTCACTTAAACATAAGAATTTGGGGAGATGATACAGAGGTCCCGCCCCCCCCCAAAAGTCACTCCCGTCACATGGGGGTTGGCGGTTTAACCTGTTTTTATGATCAATAAATACCGACCTTCCCATATAATCCACTTGGAAGCATTATTATTGAATGGAGGCCTTTGCTGACCACACACATTGCTTCCATTTTGGGACCGTAACCCTTTTGTCATGTGACCTCTTACTGGCTGATAGTTTGAGGCTAATTAATGTTTGTTTTGCTATGAATGGCGCAGATTTGTGGAGGTGACACCGAAAAGTACGAATCTGTTAAAAATGTGGCCCTAAACAAGGTAGAATTCCATTGTGACCCAATATACCAATCAGATGAATGACGGGATGAAGGTTCTGATTGATCCTCATAGTTTTATGGGTTGTAAATGACAGAAGTCCATCCAGTTCTGATCTTTTCTGATTGGTCAACCACACAGCCAATCCATATCCACATCAGGGCACCACATTCTCCTTATTGATTCATTTCATCACAATACAAATGAGTTTATGATTGTTTGTGCTCCTTCCAGGTGATGTCATCTCGGGTCACCTCCTGATGTCATGGCGACCTCTTCCTCCTCACAAGGTATGACTGCTGATCCTGACAATCCTTTCCAATGGTTTCCTCCATCTCACATCTCCAGAGATTGGAATTAGATGATAGGACGTCTTCTGTCTCTGTAGTCTGGACATTTCCTGTAGACATCTGGTCAGTCCTCCCATTAGAAGAGTTCAGGAACTTTCATCATTTCCACAATCACATTCCCATGTCACCAGATTTTATTGATCAATGATGGAAATGATCTTCTGAGGTGGCCCAGTGATCCATAATGACCCCAAATTCTATCATTAGTTATGTAGTGGTCGGGGGAATCCTTTGTCTATAATCCTGAGGACACAGCCTCGTGTTACATGATACATACTGCTGGGAGATTTGGGGGTTGGCGGTTTAACCTGTTTTTATGATCAATAAATACCGACCTTCCCATATAATCCACTTGGAAGCATTATTATTGAATGGAGGCCTTTGCTGACCACACACATTGCTTCCATTTTGGGACCGTAACCTTTTTGTCATGTGACCTCTTACTGGCTGATAGTTTGAGGCTAATTAATGTTTGTTTTGCTATGAATGGTGCAGATTTGTGGAGGTGACAACAAAAAGTACGAATCTGTTAAAAATGTGGCCCTAAACAAGGTAGAATTCCATTGTGACCCGATATACCAATCAGATGAATGACGGGATGAAGGTTCTGATTGATCCTCATAGTTTTATGGGTTGTAAATGACAGAAGTCCATCCAGTTCTGATCTTTTCTGATTGGACAACCACACAGCCAATCCATATCCACATCAGGGCACCACATTCTCCTTATTGATTAATTTCATCACAATACAAATGAGTTTATGATTGTTTGTGCTCCTTCCAGGTGATGTCATCTCGGGTCACCTCCTGATGTCATGGCGACCTCTTCCTCCTCATCCTCCTCCTCACAAGGTATGACTGCTGATCCTGACAATCCTTTCCAATGGTTTCCTCCATCTCACATCTCCAGAGATTGGAATTAGATGATAGGACATCTTCTGCCTCTGTAGTCTGGACATTTCCTGTAGACATCTGGTCAGTCCTCCCATTAGAAGAGTTCAGAAGATTCCATCAATTCCACAATCACATTCCTGTGTCTTCAGATTGTATTTATCATTGATGGAAATGATCTTCTGAGATGGCCCAGTGATCCATAATGACTGGATGACCCCATATTGTATGGTTAGCTATGCAGTTGTCGGAGAATCCTTTGTCTATAATCCTAAGGAGGACACAACCCTGTGATAGATGACACATACTGCTGGGAGATTTGGGGGTAATCGTTCTTAGTTCACACAGATCAGACACATCATTATTCAAGAGGAACGGTTTATTAAGGGTTTAAAGTTTCTTTCAGTTTACTATGAAGAAAATTATGTTTAAAATGGTGATCCCTACATATACATGAGGAGGTCTATATATAAAATATGTATTATGAGTTTGTGTCATTTGCACAGCCATCACTAATAATCCCTGCAATGTGTCTAATAGATTACTTCCTATCATCATCAGCTCCATCTAGTGGCCATAATACAGTATTTTCTTGGAATACCTCAACCAGTAAGATATAACATTATGGCCACTAGATGGAGCTGATGATTAGTGGAAATAAATATATTAGGCATATTATGGGGATAATTCATGAAGGTGAATTTTTTATAGATTAGGCCCTTAGGTGTTTTCATTCAATATTCACCCATCTGAGAGGTAACTCACCTTCATGGAGGCAGTCATGTGACATTATCACAGAAAAACACAAAGCACATATAGAAATATTGGGGGGGGGGGTTCCTTTCCCTTCTATATGCTCTGTATAGCTATGCTGGCTGCCAGTACAGACTTATCAGCTGTCATGTGTCAGAAATCATCCAATCAGGATGAATGTTTATGGTTGCTGATTGTCCTCTCTGCAGGGTCGGCTCCTGGTATTAGAGGAAAGTGGAAACAAACCTCCGGGGATCTTCTTATATATTCTCTGGAGGATCTGAAAGGATGTGACTTCAAGAGATTCAGGAACAAATTGTCTGATTTCTCCTATGGAGGTAAACTTCCCATCCCCCGAGGAAAACTAGAAAATGCTGACTGGATCTCCACCAAAGACGTCCTCATAGACAGATATGGAGAAGAAGGGGCTCTGGATGTCACCATTAAAGTCTTTACGCTGATCGGTCTGATGGGACCTGCAAATGACCTCCAGGAGAGGAGAGCCCAGAATGGTGAGTTCCCATCTATAATGACCATTTCCTACCAATTCCTGGTCAATATCTGTGTGAGGAAGAACTAGGAATGTCATCCAGGGAAAGCCAGTGAGACGGCTGGCATGCACACAGCGATCTCTGCAGAATGGTAAGCAGGCGTGTACACATGCAACCGCACACACACACGCAACCGCACAAACACCCGCACACACACGCAACCGCACACGCAACCACACACACACACGCAACCGCACACGCAACCGCACACATGCACACGTAACCACACATGCACCCGCACACGCAACCACACACACGCAACTGCACACGCACAGTGTATTTTGGCATCAAACAGACTATTTAAGGATACTCCTGTCCATGGTCAAGTGTTGACTGGTCTTCAGCGGTTCCGTGTGTCCTGCGTTAGTCTTGTAAGATTCCCTTGTTCCTGACCCGCCTCTGTTCCTGAAGCGGCTCTGTTCTTGACTTCGGCTCTGTTCTTGACTTCGGCTCTGTTCCTGACCCCGGCTCTATTCCTGACCCGGTTCTGTTCCTGACTTCAGCTCTGTTCCTGAAGCGGCTCTGTTCTTGACTTCGGCTCTATTCCTGACTTCGGCTCTATTCCTGACTTCGGCTCTATTCCTGACTTCGGCTCTGTTCCTGACCCAGCTCTGTTCCTGACCCCGGCTCTGTTCCTGACCTCGGCTCTGTTCCTGACTTCGGCTCTGTTCCTGACTTCGGCTCTGTTCCTGACTTCGGCTCTGTTCCTGACCCTGGCTCTGTTCCTGACCCTGGCTCTGTTCCTGACCCCGGCTCTGTTCCTGACCCCGGCTCTGTTCCTGACCCCGGCTCTGTTCCTGACTTCGGCTCTGTTCCAGACCCAACTGTGTTCCTGACCTGGCTCTGTTTCTGACCCAGCTCTGTTCCTGACCCGGCTCTGTTCCTGACTTCAACTCTGTTCCTGACTTTGGCTCTGTTCCTGACTTTGGCTCTGTTCCTGCCCCGGCTTTGTTCCTGCCCCGGCTTTGTTCCTGACCCGCCTCTGTTCCTGACCCGCCTCTGTTCCTGACCCAGCTCTGTCCCTCACCCAGCTCTGTCCCTCACCCAGCTCTGTCCCTCATCCAGCTCTGTCCCTCACCCAGCTCTGTCCCTCACCCAGCTCTGTCCCTCAACCAGCTCTCTTCCTGACTTTGCTCTGTTCCTGACCCGGCTCTGTTCCTGACTTTGGCTCTGTTCCTGATTTTGGCTCTGCTCACGATTTGGTATCTCACTGTCTGCCTGTTGATGACCCAGCTATTCCTGTGACCTCGCTTGTGTCCATTATATAATACATTGTATACATACAGGATCCATTATATCATACATTGTATACATACAGGATCCATTATATAATACATTGTATACATACAGGACACATTATATAATACATTGTATACATACAGGACACATTATATAATACATTGTATACATACAGGATCCATTATATCATACATTGTATACATACAGGACACATTATATAATACATTGTATACATACAGGACACATTATATCATACATTGTATACATACAGGATACATTATATCATACATTGTATACATACAGGACACATTATATAATACATTGTATACATACAGGATCCATTATATCATACATTGTATACATACAGGATCCATTATATAATACATTGTATACATACAGGATCCATTATATCATACATTGTATACATACAGGATCCATTATATAATACATTGTATACATACAGGATCCATTATATAATACATTGTATACATACAGGATACATTATATAATACATTGTATACATACAGGATCCATTATATAATACATTGTATACATACAGGACACATTATATCATACATTGTATACATACAGGATCCATTATATCATACATTGTATACATACAGGATACATTATATCATACATTGTATACATACAGGATCCATTATATAATACATTGTATACATACAGGATCCAATATATAATACATTGTATACATACAGGATCCATTATATAATACATTGTATACATACAGGACACATTATATCATACATTGTATACATACAGGACACATTATATCATACATTGTATACATACAGGATCCATTATATAATACATTGTATACATACAGGACACATTATATAATACATTGTATACATACAGGACACATTATATAATACATTGTATACATACAGGACACATTATATCATACATTGTATACATACAGGACACATTATATCATACATTGTATACATACAGGACACATTATATCATACATTGTATACATACAGGACACATTATATAATACATTGTATACATACAGGACACATTATATAATACATTGTATACATACAGGACACATTATATCATACATTGTATACATACAGGATCCATTATATAATACATTGTATACATACAGGATATATTATAAAATGATGTAAACAAACAAGTATGTAAAATTTAATAATAAATTAAAAAAATAACCAGTATCAAGGTTTGATCCAGGTCAGTGATGGGGTTAATGTTAGGCTGAAAGGTCAGGGTCAATGGTTAGGGGTCAAAGGTCATGGTCAGTATATTTTGGCTTGAATTACAAAAAATATCTAAGTTAGTATCAGTGTCAGTCAGTGTCGGTGTGTTTTAAGCAGACTAAAGAAAGAGCTATTATCTCTGGGCCAGACTCCGGGTACAGACAACTAACATCCACATATTGTGGGATCTCTGTGATTGTCAGGAGGAGAGGTTATTTTGGGTCATCCTTTGGTGGTAAGTCATGATAATAGTAAGAAATAAACAAATACATTTTAAAAATCTTTTTTTTTTTTTTTTTTACTTTTTGCGCCAGTGTTCCTTTGATTATAAAAATACCAGGAAATCTCTGTCACCATTTCCCACCAAATGAAGCCCAGTTTGTCCTGAAAAGTGCAGTATGATCCACCTGGATACACAAAGTAGTTGGGATGATTTGTACAGATTTACTAACATGGGTCAAAGTTACAAAATTGTGTTCAGGCATTAACATTTGTCTTGCCCTCAGTCATTAAGGGGTTAAACTATCTTTCTTGAGGGAGTTTACAGAATAAAATACATTTGGGTATCAAAATTGTGAATGAAGGAAAAGACTACGGAGTTCAGCAACATTCTGCAAGGGACACAGAGTAACAATTCTCCAGGATGCTGGCTGTCAGTCCCCATAACACAATGACGTCACTCAGCATGCCGAGCAGAGCAATACAATTGCCACCACTTGCCTATTATACAGACCCTCCATATTTATAGTAGTAGTATTGGGAGACCCTCATGAATGTTGTTCGGTGTTTTGAGCCTTGTGCCCAATGCATCCACCTGAACCTCCATCAGAAAGAGGAGTCATGGCTCCAGATTCCAGGCGTGTGCCTGCAAACCTGCATATAAAATTGGGGGGGTTATGGTCCCCCCACCATGGTCACATGTCACTGCAATGTGCTGAGATGTTACCAGGCAGACATGGACACTCCCCATCACCTGCATGGAGAATTGGGGGGGTTCTGGTCCCCCCACCATGGTCACATGTCACTGCAATGTGCTGAGATGTTACCAGGCAGACATGGACTCTCCCCATCACCTGCATGGAGAATTGGGGGGGTTCTGGTCCCCCCACCATGGTCACATGTCACTGCAATGTACTGAGATGTTACCAGGCAGACATGGACTCTCCCCATCACCTGCATGGAGAATTGGGGGGTTCTGGTCCCCCCACCATAGTCACATGTCACTGCAATGTACTGAGATGTTACCAGGCAGACATGGACACTCCCCATCACCTGCATGGAGAATTGGGGGGGTTCTGGTCCCCCCACCATGTCACATGTCACTGCAATGTGCTGAGATGTTACCAGGCAGACATGGACACTCCCCATCACCTGCATGGAGAATTGGGGGGTTCTGGTCCCCCCACCATAGTCACATGTCACTGCAATGTACTGAGATGTTACCAGGCAGACATGGACTCTCCCCATCACCTGCATGGAGAATTGGGGGGGTTCTGGTCCCCCCACCATGGTCACATGTCACTGCAATGTTCTGAGATGTTACCAGGCAGACATGGACACTCCCCATCACCTGCATAGAGAATTGGGGGGTTCTGGTCCCCCCACCATGGTCACATGTCACTGCAATGTGCTGAGATGTTACCAGGCAGACATAGACACTCCCCATCACCTGCATAGAGAATTGGGGGGGTTCTGGTCCCCCCACCATGGTCACATGTCACTGCAATGTGCTGAGATGTTACCAGGCAGACATAGACACTCCCCATCACCTGCATAGAGAATTGGGGGGGTTCTGGTCCCCCCACCATGTCACATGTCACTGCAATGTGCTGAGATGTTACCAGGCAGACATGGACTCTCCCCATCACCTGCATAGAGAATTGGGGGGGTTCTGGTCCCCCCACCATGGTCACATGTCACTGCAATGTGCTGAGATGTTACCAGGCAGACATGGACTCTCCCCATCACCTGCATAGAAAATTGGGGGGGTTCTGGTCCCCCCACCATGGTCACATGTCACTGCAATGTACTGAGATGTTACCAGGCAGACATGGACACTCCCCATCACCTGCATAGAGAATTGGGGGGGTTCTGGTCCCCCCACCATGGTCACATGTCACTGCAATGTGCTGAGATGTTACCAGGCAGACATAGACACTCCCCATCACCTGCATGGAGAAATAGGAGGAGGAGAGACTCCACTCTACAGAGGGTTGGTGGGATGATGGTGTCGGGGAGGATCTGCTACACTAATAACTCTCTTAGTTATTATTTATACATTTCAGATGTTTGTCAGGACTAATCACTTCCCTCATCTTATTTCCAGCCAATCCGAAGAAGAAGATGACACACAACAGATTATCAGGTTAGTAGGACATCAACTTTTCATATGGAATCTCTTCTGGATGAACATTTTGTTCTGTTGTAGTCTGGATCAGTGACTGTGACTTGGCCCTGGTGTTCCACCATTGTTC